CAAGGGAGACACTAAGATCATATGTGGAGTCAACTTGCACAAAGGCATGCAGCGGTTATGGGTTGACATCAGTCACAGAGGAATTAGGCTGTTCTCTGCCAGTTGTCACGTGCTCTGATTATACACTGGTATAAGATAATTAGACTGTACACCCACAATTGAGTTACGTATAGCTGCAAAGCTGTCACTCAACAGAACAGATACACTGATTGCACAGGGCAAACAAGCCAGACCTCAGTTTTCTCTGCCTTCTCATTGGGAGACAGTCTGCCTTCATAGATGTTCAAGCAGCTGCCACACAACTGTCTACGATTGTCATACCTTACTCTATGTTGCATTATCAAGCTTTGCAAGATGTTGGAAAACAGCTATTAGATTCAGCTGACTGAATGGAGAGCTACTGCAGCATAATGCACCAAATCTGAAGCCAGGTTACAGACAGAAGTAGCAACTTCTAGGAGCAGCTAACATGAGAAAGGTGGAACAAATCTCGTTTGGTATCTCAAGACACTACCTACTGGTTCCACAACCCACAAGATTTCAAGAGGATAGTGCTGCCAAAAGGCAGAGCCCTACCCTGACAAGCAGAGAGCAAACTCTAATCTAGTTCCCTTACTAAGTTGCCATAGTCACTAACAGCATCCTACACAAATTGACCTGAAACGATAAGCATGGCATCAGGGGCTGTTCACATTCCATTATTGTTCATCACAGGAAAAAAAGGAAGTGGCTGGAAGGCTACTGAGCCTGCTCATCCCTTCACCGAGAATCTCACACCAGGTTGCTTAAACAAAAAAGCCTGTGCTTCCCTCCAAACGTATAAGTCTGAGCAACCAACCTATAAGCTTGTCACCTATCTAGAGAAGCCCCTATGAGACCTGCCTACATCAAAACAAATCAGAATTTGGAGATCAACCCCTCACAATTCCCTGCCTTAGATTGTGAAAACAAGAGAAGGAAAAAGCAATCACAGCCTTATTTCTACAGTTGCACTGACTCCATCTGAGTAGGAGGACAAAGTATCCTAGGCCAAATGCATTAGTCCACCAGAAAGATTTATCTCAATGAAAACTCGACTCTACAGAGTCACTTTGGCTTTTCTTCAGTTCTTAGTAAGCTGCAGTGCTTAAAGCAGCCACGTTCCAGAACTTGCAAAAAGTCAGCGGGTTTGGTCCCCCGAAAAAAGGCCCTTCCAAGAGCCTTTTTATGCTTCAGTCTGTTCCTGTCGCACGAAAGCATCTGGGCCCCCAACACCTGTACGTGTAGCCTAAACTGGATCTGAAATGTATCAGACAGAATAGCAAATCCAGCAGAAGCTGTCTACATAGAGTTAGATACAAATGTCTGATTCTAAACTAAAAAAATGCCTTCCAACAAATCAGAAAAATTGTTCTTTTTTTAACTACACGGTCCTACACAGAAGCAGCCTTCAGCCATTAAATGCTTTGCCCCTCCATTTCTTCAACAAACTGAATATAGGTACACGTAACTGGAGAATTACTGAGCCTCCAAGTCTCCACAGATACAGGCAAGCAAATGCCACAAAAGCTAGGCCACTCATGCAGAAGAGTAATCCGGCTGCAAGCACAGAGTCCTCAGAGACTCCAGAAATTTAAACACAAGCTGAAAGGTATTGTCAATCGAGAAGCAAGGGCAATAAAAGCAGCAAGAACCCCATTTGTGAAAGCAACCTTCTCAGATCAGTACAATCTTCACTTCAAGGCTGCAGTAGCATTGAAGCAGTTCCTCCAGTGGTGTTCAGGTTTTTGGAATCCTGGAAGGAAGAAACAAGACAGACCCACCTATGGGCACTGGGTCTGCGCCAAGTCTGGTGGGGATTGCAGAAGTCTCCATTGCTCCACCTTCACATTTTGTTTGCAGACAAGTTCAGGTTTCTCCCCTAGCACCAGATCTCTGAGCACTGATGAAATCTCTGCCTTATTCTGCAGTGCAGGAATCATCAGACAGAGCTTCTGCAGAGCCTCTCTTCACAACCACATGCAAACAGCTACGAAGAAAGATCACATAGTTCATTAGCAGAAAGGTGACAG